CACAAACCCTCCGTCGTTCGCTCCCGTTCTCTTTCTCCCCTTCGCGCTATCTCTCATTGAGGGCAGCGGCCTACTCTTTTCACCTCTGGGCTCTGCCAGCCTGTGGCCAGGCTTCGGTCAAATGAAATCACACTAATCAAACTCCCCCCCTCTCCTTCTGCCTCTCTCTCCCACTTTCTCCTCCTCTCTGGTGGCTCTGAGCCCATTAGCACACCTGAAATAATAACTCAAGTGACAAATGTTTTGGCACTTATAGCTGATAGAGCAAGAGAAAGGGTGGGAGAGAGCACACCACGCTCTCAGAGACTCAGACACAGTATTTTTCAATCCCAACTGTGTCAACAGGGCAAGCTGACAAATTCAGAAATCATCCTATGTGAAAACGCTAAAGCTTGATGTTAATAATAAAAACACAAATTCAAGTACAAGTATTTGGGTGTTGTTTTAATAGAAATCTCGTTTTCAGACATTTACAGTGAGTTGCATTGATAACATGTTGTTTATTTAGTCATTTTCAACAATACTCTTAAAGATACAAACTAAATGTAACAACATATTAATATCTCACAAGTGCTTTTCTTTATGCTTCACTAATAATGTACTGATGTTATCGCAAACTGCGTTATGCTCTTTTCTTAGTGTAAAATCCAATAATAAGCCGTAGTGAATAAAATTAATTATAATATTTACAACTTAGCCTATAGAAAAGTAAGTAAACGATGTCTTATCATTTCTGAAGTGCTATCGACCCTTCTGTTGTTTAGTTTCTAATTTTTGATTATGGCGCAGCCGTGCGTAAAAGAAAATGTATTATAATTACCTGCGTATTCATTTAGATTTATTTAGATTTATCATTTTAAAGTTACTGTTTGTGTTTAATCCTAATTGATGTTTGTTAGTTACGGGGAAATTGAAAATAATTTACAGCCGAAAATTTAAAGAAGTCAATTTATTTAATTACTTTTAACTATTAATAAGGCGAACAAAGGTGAAGTGGTCATTACCGTTCTTTTTAACAAACATTATCTAAATGTCTACATTAGTATAATCTCAAACAACTTTGATAAACAATACCGTTGTTGTGTTTTGTTTTTTTTAATAATGGAAGAATAAACTTTTAGGCTAATAAAGATGATTAAGTCTAGTTACCAGACTTTAACGTTTGACGATCTGTCACTCTGATCCGTCATCAAACAAGTACTTTGTCAACTAGTTTTAAATATTCATTAATAAATATGCAGTCTCCTAACTGTTCATAATTGATTATCATCATTAATAAACTTGGAATTAACATTTTAGGAATTATTTAAGAATGGCGCGATATTACTGACTGCAATTCGCCTGTGTGTGTGTGTGTGTGTGTGTGTGTGTGTGTGTGTCAGAAAAGTCATTGCGTCTCATTAAGAAACAAAGAAAGACAATTCTGCATGTTTCCAGTAGAAGGCGCACATGATCAAGCATACGGGTCACTGCAAGCCCTTGCATATGACAAATATGTTTTTTTTTTGGATCTTGTGTAGTAGTTTACATTATTGCAAATCCAATAGACCTGAAGTAGGCTACGCTTCTCAATTAAGAAAGTTTGTTAAAATAACAAGATCTAGAATAAATAAAACAACACAGCAAAATAAAATAAAACCACAACGCCAAATAAAAGAAAAACAGACCGATTTCTAATTTTAATTAGACCTATGAATATGTAGCCTATATTAAAAATAAATAAATGCTCATTCAAAATAGCGCGTTCTTTTTAATGCTTCCAACTAATAAAAATATAAATAAAGCCTGAATCCAATCATTTTAACTACATCTGCAGTATAAAAATTATTTTAGCCAGTGTTGTTGTTTTTCCCTTCCGACTAATTGTACGTAAAATTTCCGGACGCATGCACGTATCTGATTAATTTACGTAGGTCTATAGCTTAGAAAACGTATGAACCATCCAAAGTTTCCAAAGTTGTTTTTTTTTTTTGTTTTACAGTTTTGTTATTATATTATATGTGCAACCTTGTCACGTCAATTAATTTCATTTTCCTCACGATTAGTAAATAATTATTCCCTTTTTAAATTTTATTAGGTACTGATTGTCAAAAACGTCTCCATTGTGCGCTCGGATAAGGAAACTCTTAAAATAGATACAGGATTATTTGAATATTCACACACTTTTCATTTGACAAGCACTTGAAACACGCTGTAAGAGCATTAAAACCAGACAGTGGCAAGATCAAGAAAAAGTTAGTAGCCTGCTGTTTTATCCAGGCGCGTCTTACCCATTCCCGATAGTCTTGTAACTTTGAGGCAGTTGTCAGTAGTGGAAATGGCAGGGTTCACTGCTGACTGGCCCCTGGTCGCAGATTGCTGCGGGGGGATATAAAGGATGACCTCCGTTTGACTTCTGAACCACAGCGGCATGTTGATTTCAATAGCGACTTAGGCAGAGAAAGATTCAAATGAATAACAAATATTGAGGCAGAATGGGAGCGTTCTTGTAATAAACATCCAAATGACTTGATGCGTTCCAACACGTTCTTGTTTTCAGGATTAAGACTAAAATGAATTTCTGTTAGATGGAGCAGTCGATTTGTTCAGAGGCCCCTTGTTCTAAAAACATTTTATATGCCACTTCATACTTAATATATATGTACTATATACTTAGTACATATTTTCCTAAGTATATACATACATTTTAGTTAATAAAAAAGTCTAAATGAAGTTATATAAAATACTTTTAAGCACACTCAACGCTACACGCAGTTGTACAAATGTTGCCAGTGATGCAAAGATATGCTTTATCTTTATATATATATTTTGTTTTTGATAATGCATCAGGCGCACAGTTCAATTTACTCGGTAAAGAGTCGGACTTATTTTTAAACCCCACATAAGATTCACATCTCTTTCTAAGCCCAAATTATCCGAAATGATGGCATTAACTCACTGATGCGTGCTGCAATCTGCTGACCCTCACTAAAAGGCAACTTAAACAGTGAAAGTCCATGCCCTCATTGTGCTCCATAGCGTGCTTTTATAGATGCTAATTGAAGGAACTTAATTACTTTATAATGCTATTCTGGTACGGTGACAGCAGTTAAGCGTTTGGGTAAGCACAGCTTTCATGTCATCCCGTTTGGATCTCACATAATTGAGACAGATACAAAACTAATGTTGAGATTACAAACATCAATAAAACAAATGAGTTAACTCAGGCCACATATAAATTATAATATACATTACACCTACAGTACATAGGCGACTTAACTGAAATTAAAAATCATTTTTGAACTAACAATAATTTAGATAAACTAAAACTTTATTGTCATGGTATGTACTTGAAAAAGACATTACAGCCTACTTACCAATAAACGCGTGCGTGTGTATCTGTTGTACAGCGTCTAGGCATGTATTTGTTGTTGCATGAATCCTCCTTTCATTTGTGTTTAAGTCCACATCAGATCCCTCACCCGCGCAGCGAGCACCCTTCGTTTGCCGAGCGCTTTGGGGATTTGATAGTAATTTCATGCCTGTAAATGTGCGCGGCGGATCCCACCGCTGCTCTTCCGCGGGAAGCGAGGGTTGTGTGATGCTCACGGCAGCTGATAAGACACTGTTCCTTGCTTAATCGCTTCTGATCGATGACAGATGCTCCTCAGACAAACTCCATACACCTTGTCACCGGGTCAGTTGTATTGCCCACAATGGTGCACTTCAGTCTACATCAGTCAGTGTATGTTTAAAGCCTCTAATTCAGCTATTTCATTTGAGCATTTTATGGAATATTTATTATTTATAACAACAGACTGCTTCCTTGATGTATTTTAAATTTACCTGAACACAAACCACTTTTTTTTTTTCTAATTGTAAAATAGAATAGTTTGCACTGTACAGACTGACACTGAAAATACTGGAATAAGTAGTTAAAAGTTCTATCTACGACTTGGAATGAAAGGAATAGGAATATGATGGCACGAGGGAGTTCTTGTCAGAAGAGGAAAAACTGTGTAGCATAAAATATTAAATACATTCGCGGGTTTCCTTTTAATTACAAAATAAAATTAATAAACAAACATTCACATTTATATATTAAAATAATTCATATCTTTTCTCAGTGAGTATTATGTGTGTTTAAGTGGGAGAGAAGACTACGTGTGTGTGTGTGTGTGTGTGTGTGTGTGTGTGTGTGTGTGAAAGAGAGAGAGTGAGTAGCAAAGGAACAAAACAGAATACGAAGACTACATTTTCCCTCCAGATTACAATATTTTCATTCCACCCTTTCTTCATTTATGGAAGCATATCGACCGATACATTAATGATTGACCATCCTTTGAACCAATAGACGATTTGATTCACTGTAGCACGCTTTCATTGGACACTGCACCAAACTCCTAAGATCCTACAGTAAGTGGATGAGCCCATTCACAAATGGCGGGGGTGTTTTGGCTGAGAGCGCGCACAGCACTTGTGAAGCGCAGCATATGCTGTTTCTAAATAATGATGTTTGTGTGAAATGTAAAGTAGCCAGGCATATGGTAAAAAGTGTATTTCGTAATATCAGTGCGGAACATTTCTCTGGGCTTCCGCGTAATACATTTCATTTCGAAAACTTCATTACGCACACTGAACAGGGCTTCCAAGTTTCTCGACTATAGCAAACAGCGCTCTTCCATTTGGATACTCTGATCAGAAATGATAATAAACAGTGTGTTGAGAGTGACCTGATGTGAACGCGTCCACGCTCCATTTGTAGTTATATTTAAAACACTGTTTTTATATAAACATTTACATGACTTTATACATCGCATGTCTTGGCACGCATAACGAGCGCGGTGCAGAAGACAACCAAAAGCGCAGCGCGGTCTCTGTGGATGTTACAGCTCGGTTCATGTTGAATCGTGGTAGTGGTGGTCCGCGCATCTCTGCGTCCCACACACTTCACCCCCCTGCTTTGGTTGGAACTTGATGTGGCCCATCGCATTGTGCAAGACGCGACCTGTTATGGCCACCACTACTTCCGGGTTTCAGCAGTCTGGTCCAGATTCAGCTGCTCGAGCCGCGTTCAACACACACTCATTGTACACAAACGGGGAAAGGCAGCTCGCAGCATCGATCGTGGCTCCTTTAAGAAAAACTAAGCCAGAATTATCAGCCCACCTCCTCTTGATCTCATTTAGAAGCTATTGCATAAAAAATCAACTCAGGAGCCGAGAGTGATCAAAGAAACGAGAGAGAGCTTCATTTTTGTGCATTTGAGTAGTATTCTCGTTAGGGGTGCTAACCAGTGGAAGCGCGCAGAGGATCATCATTCATTCAGCACTTTGACAAGCTCGCGTTTGATTGATTGACAGCCGGAGTGGCAAAAAGCCATGAGATCCGCTAGTTTTGTTTGAGGGGCTATTTTCATACTGCTTTGGAAAAGAAGATTTTGCTCGATCCTTGTCGGTGTCCACGGGAAAGAAGGCGAAGGGGACCTATTCGCTGAACGCGCCTGGCTGAACTTGTGGTGAAGGACTGGCTTCATCGCTCGCTTGAAAGAGGCAGTTGGATTTTTTGGGGGGAAAACATATCCCACATTTGGAATTTGCGTGTCTATTTCCTATTCACCCTGGCCTCATAGGGGATATATTTTTGATTAAAGGAAGACGAGGGAGTGCGGAGGGCGATGGCGCAGAGGGTACGTATCCCGAAAAGTTTCTTCGACTCCGTATTGTTGAATGCAACTGGAAATACTGAAACGTGGCCGATGACAGTCAGACTCGCAGTCAAACTTTCTTCTTTTGCGTGCCAGTTTGTTGTTACGTTCAATTTCACACCGCTCACTTTCATGCATGCGTCTCTGTGTAGAGTTTTGGGACACCGAAACAATTTTTAATTAGAATACTCTCTAATTACGGTTGACAGGGAGCAATTCCTTTTTTTTTTTTTTTTCCATACTTTTAACACGCACTGCACTTTCTTTCATTTCTTCACGAGGACAAATTATGAAAAACTTTGAAACTATTGGAATAGTTCAACTCTCATAACTAAAAGTAATTACAATACATGTTATGATAATACACTGTGCAGGAATATTAATAGGGTGTTCAACAAATTCAACTCAGCAATATTATTTATATATACTATATATAATAGTCTTATTTTCAAAAAGCATTACAATGAAACATAGCTGTGCGCTTGAAATTGTAAAGTTGGCATTTACTGCCTGGCCACTTTTTCTTTGCATTTGTAATCAAATGTAAACACTCACAAAGTAGACTTAATCGCAACTCTCCGACTTTTTGCTTTTGATGGTGGAAGTACAACCTCTATAGATTTAGAATTAAAATGTGTTATGTTCTCATCATCACAGTTTCCTTACAATATGATGAAACTTTTAATAGTTATGATACCTTATCAATGTCACTGATAGATTATCAAATATTCCACTGAGCTGTTAGGCACGATTGGACAATGTACATTTTTGTTTAATTAGACTCATCCTAAATGTAATAAGTATGTTAATGTTTGAACTAGTGTATATAATGAATTTAGTTTGACAACCGTATAATCAACTAATACACAGTTATTACATGCAAATGGCATTACCTGTTACTTCAGTTGCACTTGTAAAAATAAAAATTCATATTAATTGTGGCACAACATAACACTGCACAGTCGTGTGATATTTTTGAGATGATCTCAATAAAGCTGTATGTAGCTCAGTACTCCATGTTGATGTGTCCGACGCTGTATTCTAAGTTTGTCTGTTTCAGTCTGTTTTATTTTTAAAGCACATGAGAGTTTTTTTTGCAATAAATGGCATTTTTGCATTTAGTGATAGAACCACGAGATAGTCTGCATGTACAGTTGATATAATTAATTACTTTATAATAACGGAACAAAGTGTTTTCATTTCGCAAAAGCCATACTTTTTTGCCCGACAAACATCCGATGTTGCTACCATTTACATTTTCTTTTAGTGTAGATTTTTCTGTGTATATGCTGTGTAAGAGGTAAAAGTGACAACATGGGAATATTGCCCTTCGTGTGTGTGCAGTACGAAGATATACCCCACTATGGGATGGACGGAGTAGGAATCCCGAGCACGATGTACGGGGACCCGCACGTCGCCGCCAGATCCATGCAGGCTGTTCACCTGAATCACGGGCCCCAGCTCCACTCCCACCAGTACCCGCACACAGTCCACCCCAACGCCATGCCGCCCAGCATGGGCTCATCCGTCAATGACGCTCTAAAAAGAGATAAAGACTCCATTTACGGGTACGTGTAGATAGCTAAGACATATATTTTGTGATGAAGTTTGCCAATAACACATTATTTGTCCAGTAATAGTTGCTGTAAAACAGCCACATCGAGAACTTAAGGCGCCATGAATGTTTCATCTTTTTAAAAGTTGTTTTTATTCTAAAATTTTTCCCCTCTCAATTTTACATTAGTTCACCATTTTAACTTTGAATGTTAACATTTGACTGTTCCTTTTGCCTTTCTTTTTGTGACAGTATTTTTTTTTAAAATATTGTTTGTTTTAAAATTCTGATAATATTTAGTTTTAAACTTTAATTATGTTGATATATACTGAATAAAAAAAAAACAAAAAAAAACATTGTGCATAAGCACATTGTATGTTGCGTTTAAGCTATAACTTTTTAATTGTGTAAACGTCAGGCCTAGTTATTAGTTAAATGGATAAAATACATTTTTGGACAGATGCGCAAAAATGTTTCCCGTGAAAATTACAATGAGCACTCTCACAAAACCATAAAGGATATTTTCCACATGATCTGTCCTGGTCATAAAATGTGCAAACATATCTGGATTTGAGGAGTTACTCCAAATGCACCTATAGCATACAAAAACTGCTCGAGCACAAGAGTTCTCATCACAGCGCTGTATATAAATGTTGCCGTTCAAAATACGCAGTAAGAAGCTATAGAACTTACTCTCATTCGTTATGAATTAGATACGTCCATAAACATTTACACAAGATATAGGCCCACTGTTTGAACCATGGTTAAATTGCATGCTTGGCCTAGACTCAACGTGAGCATTTCTTAGATGCTGTGATCTCGTAGCCCACTGTTTATGTTGACTGATGTCTTAGATAATACGTTCAGGAATCCAAGTTACATGTGATTTGACACAATATTGTACACAACTAACAAGCTCGTTATAATGCAAGTCACAACAAAATAATCGACATGAACGTATGTTTAAACACTTTATATCTATATCATCGTAGCGCAGTGATACGCACGTACTTTTGTTTGGTGACATACATTAACATTAGTTAAATAAATCGAAATTTCTTAAATGTAATTTAGACTGTTCTAACGTTTTCAGTACAGACCACTTATACACCGAGAAGGAGTTGTAAACTGTTATAAAATGGCATGTGCTAATCCAGAGCTTTCCCCGCACTGACCTCTGTGTTTTTATTCCAGGCACCCTCTGTTCCCGCTTCTAGCACTGATTTTTGAGAAATGTGAATTAGCCACTTGCACACCTCGAGAGCCCGGTGTGGCTGGGGGCGATGTGTGTTCATCAGAGTCGTTCAATGAGGATATAGCAGTGTTTGCAAAACAGGTCAGAAACTGTTTTATGGCGCAAAAAGTTTTTGCATATTTTAATGTGTTTAGTTGCTGCGTTGACGTAGGCCTACTCTCCGCAACTTTAAATCATAAAAAGAAATGCTGTTCCACCGAACGTAGTTGTAAGCGGTTTTTTTTTTGTCAGTTTATTTTATATTATTGTCTATAGTTATTCCGGAATACAGTCGACCACGTAGATATCACTTATCAGCAATACACTTTGGAAGAATTGTATCAACACCTGTTTCCACGTCGAGAGTGGGCCTATCAAGTGATTTATCGCCAAACCATATAGTTTTTCAGTATTGAATAAACATAATACCCATTGGTTCCAAATCTCCAGATATTTGCATGAGCCTCTAGAGTTATGTGTGTTGAGATAACACGGCAAAGCGATAGTTTGAGCATTCAGCCATAAATTAAGAATTCTCCCCTCGCCACTGAATGCCATCCGCCATATTATTCCCTTGTAAAGAGGTGGTAATGAAATAACTAGACGAAATTAAACAGTTTACCTTAAATGTCAGTCAAGCAGGTCATCTCTCTAATGGCCACAACCCCGGGAGCAGATTAATTTTACACGGGTGCTGAATACGGTGTTGCCCGTGAGTCGTCTTGTCAGTGTCAATTTTCGGCGATATCTCTATTTTGAGAGGGCGTAAAGTTATTTCACATTCTGGATGCATCTGATAGCTATCAGAGAAGGCCATTGGGAGAGGTTTTCCATGTCAATAGGAGTTCTGGATGCACTTGTCAACTCGCTGTGATGACCCTTTGTGATTTCCCCCCCCCTTGCTTCCCTTGTATCTATAGGTACATGAACTTTGTGACAATTTCTGTCATCGGTACATCAGCTGTTTGAAGGGAAAGATGCCCATCGACTTGGTTATAGATGACAGAGAAGGAGGATCAAAATCAGACAGTGAAGAAATTACAAGACCCCATGATCAGGTACGTGCAGGAGTCTATTTCTTTTCTGGCCATTCAGCTCGTCTTTTGGGTCACTTTCTCTGCCTCGCCGTTATTTGCATACGATTAAGGCTTTTAAATTCCATCGGATTGAAAAATTTGGAATAATGTGGCCCATTATTGCTTCATTACGGTTTGATCCCGGAACTGACCCGAGGAGATTAGCTCGTGAAAGCATTGCCATAAACTTGACCTGTTTCTTGTCGATTTTAATTTAGTCCTTTCCCTCTTCTTTTCTCTCGCCTGCCTTTTTTTTAATCAAACCAAATGGTTAGTCTGTCTATGGTATCTATTACTATCACGAACCAAATGGAGACATATCTATAGTAGATATTTAGAGATTTGGTGCTTTGGTTTTCTGCTGTTGTTCACGCCTCATTAGTTGCATTGTCAGTGTTTTTTCCTCCAATGCTTTTGCGCAGTTCTACTCTCAGTGCTTTGAATAGCATAATCAGCGCGCGTTCGTGTTTGAATAGAACTGTGCCATACAGTATTCTGTGTTTATGGAAAAATATGTGGAATTCTGTTCCTTTGTGCCTTTTTGACTACGCGGCAGCTTGTACTTGTGGTTTCTTTGACGTTTTTCAACTCTAACGCATTTTTTATTCAACTTTTAGCTTTCAATGCTTTCATCTGGACAGGTCGCATAATGTTTATGTATATATTTTAAATGAATGATATGAGATTTGGGAGAGACAATTGTTTTAAAAAAAATAAGTGGTCATATTAAGGGGATTAGCAGATTCACCAGCATAAAAATTAATGAAGCGATTAGGCTAAATAATTTAAATCCGTCATCTTCCATATGGCTGAGTGATCGAATAAAGCATTGACCAGTCGTAGATTTCCATTGAGTGCGTCGACCACCAGCTTTTATATGAGGGAGAGAAAACCCTGTCCCTTTCATTACCAATCAGGGACTCCAATAAAACGACCTTTGGCTGTTTAGTCTTTTCTATCTCTGCTGTATTAGTGATTATGTTAAAGAGCGGATCTGTACAGATAATGCATCTAATTCAAAGGAAGCATTAAACAGCATAATGCCAGTTGTGTTTATAACTCTTTTAACAAAACTCAATCGGAAGGCACGTGCCAAAACTTTTGAATAGTTGAATTCTTGAGCAGAGATTAATTTAAGCGATACAAATAAATTAGGCTTATATGAAGACCCCTGGGTATGCAGGTATATAACTTGATAAGAGCAATTAATGCTTTGCTTGAGGCCACGAATTCAGATCTTTAATAGACTTTAAGATAAAGACATGTCCTATTTTTTTTTTCTTGATGATATGTAACACCTAAATATTAGGGTTAGTATTAAGTGTTTACATCTTCATGAAAGTCTGATTCCCCAATGTAAGCTGACCAACTTTTCAGAAGTTTGCAAATGCGAATTTTTTATTGTTTTATTATGAATCGTACTTAAATGCCGCTGGTTAGCCTTGTACTACTTTAAAATTAGATGAGCAGTAGAGAGAGCTTTAAACTTAAATACATGTAAATTTAAAAATAAGTTTAAGATAACTATGCGTATTGGGCGGTTTTTGGTTAACAGTTAGACAGTGTTAAAGTTAACTTCACCGAGCGTTTGACTCTAGGCCCTATATGTATTTTACATCTCATTTTTATGTGGCTACATTTCTGAGCTTTCTAGGCGGTGACATCCCTAACGAATTTGCGTCGCTCATGCATTATCTCGTTCCATATGTATTTTTAATATATGCCCTCGGGCATAAAGTTGAATTGGACTGGG